TGCCTGCCTGCCTGCCTGCCTGCCTGCCTGCCTGCCTGCCTGCCTGCCTGCCTTGCCTGCCCGCTCCCCCATCTCTGACGCAGACTACTTGACGTGCGCCGCGGCCAATGGGGTGCCGCCCCCGGGGGCGTTGCTGCCGGCTGATTGGTTGGCAGGAGCCGAGCGCTGCGCAAAAACAGAAAAGCCGAGCGCTGCCGGCTCAGAAACTGCCGGCAGAGATCTGAGGAGCCGGGGCCGGGGCTGGGACCGGAGCCGGAGCCGGGACGGGAGGCGAGCGGCGGCGGCGGCAGCAGCAGCAGCCAGGAGAGACAGAGAGAAAAAGAGAGAGAGAGAGAGAGAGGCAGGGACTAGACGCGAAAGCAGCAAGAGAGGAAAAAAACTGATCAGCACATCCATAAAAAGCAGAGTGATGATGATGAACATAATAATAGCAATAAAAGAAGAAAATGAAAGACTATTAATAGAAGAGAGAAAAATCTAAAACCTTTAAATAAAAAAGAGGAAATCCCAGAGAAATCAGGGAATGAAAGTTTTGGGTAGCAAAGCTGTTCTCTGCCTTTTTTGAGATGAAATCTTTTTGCGGGTTATAATTTTTTTTTTTTTTTTTTTTTAATTTCGCGGTTTTCTGCCTTTTCCTTGCATCTAAAGAGGGCATGTCCACCGGCTTTTCCAGCAGCATCTACCCCTCCAGCTCCCACCAGGAAGACAAACCGAGGACAATCTTGAAATATAAAAATTTCCTCCTTGGGATTTGCTGCTGCTGCTGCTGCTGCCTCCGCCGCCACTGCTGCTGCCGCGGTGCAGTGCCAAGACTCTCGGAATAAATAAAAGCGGGCTACTCTGTATCTCTAGCTACATCCAGCTAATAGCTATTATTAGTTGGCCATTTATTTCGAAGATCACAGATGAAGTGGGGACGCCTGTCTTCTTCATTTGGGCAGCGTGTGAAACAATAATACTCGTAACAAAAAGGAGGGAGATGGGGGAGAAAAGAATCCTAACATGAATCAGAAGAAATAATATCTAGCACCCCCCCACCCCCAAATCAACCTCCCCCCC